GCTTTGCTAAGCTTGTTCTAAGTAGGTGCTTTAGACCACTGAGCCGTCTCACCAGCCCTTGAGATTCTTTTTTTAAGCAAACTTTTTATTAGTACACCTGGGCATTACATAGTATTTACCTCGGTCTTATGCAGTAGGTGTGTGTTCTATACTTAACACAGGTCAGCTCCTTGTATTGGAGAGGACATGTTTGAGCATGCTTGTGTGACTGGCTGTGTGGCTGGATCCTGGCCTAAGGTCTACAAACTAAGATCCCTCTGTAAGGGTGTACATGAGCCCGTTCCTTGATTGGGGGGCTGGTTATATGGTGCCCCCAGTATGGGTAGCACACATGCTAGGCAGAGCTGTTTCTGGGGCTTGTGTTGGACTGGGGACCCCAACCTGTGCCAAGGAGTAATGGGTTCTATGGCTGACCCATGGAGCAGCCCAGGGCCATGGTTTGGATAAATGACCCCCAAACTCCCCTAATGCCACAGGCTTGGTCCCCGGCCAGTGATGCGCTTGGGAAAAGTAGTGGAACCTTTAAGAGGCAGCGCCTTGTGGGAGGGGTGTGGGGACCCAGCCCCTGTGTCTTCCTCACTCTTCCCGTCCTTCATGAGGGGAGCAAGCAGCTCTGCTCTACCACAGCTGTGCTCTGACCTTGAACTGCCACCTCTTGAAAGCCCCAAGACAATTGATCATGGACTGCAGTCTCCCAAAACCATGAGCTGAGAGGAACCTTTTCTCTTTGTAAGTTGATTATTACAGGTGTTTTGTTATAGTAGTGGCAATCTCACTTATACACCCAGGATCTCTTAGATTCATTGCAAGTTCAGTGACACACAGATGGGAAGTAAAACCAGTGGCTGGACTTGTCCAGTTTTGCAGAACAGTGTCCTTCCTCTTGTGAATGCAGTGAACCACAGCTTTGAAGAGTTTCTCCCATCTCTCCTGAAGCCATTGTTCTCTGCTTTATCTATGTTCAACTAACCTTGTCTGTCACAGCCTCAGTTTCTAGAACTTTCCGATGCAGTTTCCTGCTGCTCACAGCTTTCTCAGTCATATTAATCTCTTTCCTCTGTCATGTTCAGCCCCTGAGTGATTCCTCCTGGTTTCCCACAATGGAAAAACAAGAGTCCTCCTGAAAATCCCAACTCCTCCCCAAAACTTCGTTGGTGAATGCAGCCCCACCTTGACTTCTGAGCCAGAAATACACCTGGGGACAGTGGTCCTTTTCATACTGGTGCATGCTTGCCATCCCTTCTCCAATAAGATGGAAAGAAAATAGAGGGCTGCCACTTGGGAAACAACGTTTAGCACACAGCCAACACCCTCAATAGCAATTAGTATTAGTAGGTACTCAATAAACGTTCTTTAGCAGTACTGAGGGTTAAGTTCAAGGACTTCCCACTGATTAACATACCCAGCCCTTTTTATCTTTTTTTATTTTGAGGCAGGGTCTCATGAAGTTGCCAAGTTGCCCAGGCTGAGCTTCAAACTTGTGACCCTCCTGGGTCAGCCTTCCGGTACCCTGGCCTTATAGGCGTGTGCTCTTGGGCTTGGCTACCATCGCGCATTTTTTGTCCCTGTCTTTAAGGCAGCGTAATTGTCACAGACTGAGGCTGCAGGATTCTACCGATGCTCACTCTGTAGATTTGCAGCTAGAAACCAACTTAGTGAGATTTTTAGGGGTTATGAAAGTTGATTTCATAAACTAAATCAAGTGCATTTATCAGTGGCATTGACTGATGACTCAAATTCATTCTTGTCTGGAAATGGAGGGGACCACTCAGGCCCGCACAGTGCCTCTTGTGCTTGTGCCCTCAGGGGTGGCAGGGGACTTGGAGATGGGCAGAGGTCTTTTGTCTCTTATCTCAGCAGGTCAGTAAGAAAAGCTGTGGAGTCACTGATCTGGGTCCTTGTGACTGTCGCCTCCCTTGTGTAGATTGTGGGAGAAGCACATGTTTATGACTCATTCTTAGTCAGTGTCCAAGTAAGAGGCAGAGGGTAGCCTTAAATGGAGTCATCAGGGGAGGGTGCAGTGAGGGCTCAAGGGAAAAGAAGCAGGCAGGGTTTAAGAAAGCCGCAGGGACCAATGCAGCACCCCGGGGTTGGCTGAGCTGGCAGGGGCCAGTTGCTGTCTGGCAGGTGCTGCGGCCAAACCAAGCCATGACCATCAGGGAGAGAGCTGGGGAATAAATATTCGGGACCTGACTTTCCATTTGTTCCTCCTGTCGGCCAAATACAACAGGAAGGCAGAGACCAAGGAAGCTGGTGGTTCACATCTTCCAAGTCAGTACCGGGGACCTTTCCAACCCGGAAGTAATAAAGTGGCCTCCTGTTTTCCCTCTTATACTATTAGTTGTATCATTCCCTGGAGCTTCATATACCACTTGTTTCAGAGGAGTGTGCAACATTGTTTTAAAAAAAAATTCTCCCCTGCTGACTTGTAACTATAAAACTCATTCTTTCAAGGGACACAAGTCAGTGTTTTTTTATTTTGTAACATATCCCATATTTTAGTGTATTTACTGCAGGCATTATCAATCTTGGAATATTTTTGTTTCCCTAAAAGAATCTCTGTACCCATTTAACAGTCACTCCCTTATTTTTCCCCTTCCTTCATATGTAAGTAACCATCATTCAACTTCTGGGCTTAAAAAACTGTGTATTGTGTACATTTCCTATAAAGAGAATGATATAATAATTGTCCTTTTGCATCGGGCTTCTTTCATTTAGCACAACATTTTCAGGGTTCATTCCCGCTTGTACCAGGTATCAATAGTACCTCATTCCAAATAATATTCTATTGCATAGGTAGTCTTTGTTTGTTCATCATCTGGAATATCAGGGTTGTTTCCACTTTGGGGTGATTATGAATAATGCTGCTGTGAACATCTGTGTGCATGCAAGTTTTTGTGGATGTGCATTTTCAGTGCTCTTAGTCACGCGCCGTTTCTTTCTGTCCTGCCTGGAGTGCGCATCTTATTTGGGTTAGTTCCTTGGCATCCTTCAATTCCCAGCAGGTACCTGGCTCTTTCTCTGAGAAGCTTTCTTTGGCCCCCTCTTTCCCTCATGAGCTGTCACTCCCTATGATTCCCATAGCCCATATTTTTCTCAATCCCACCTGCTTGGCAGGCAAGTTTTCATTTTCAAACTCTCCCTGTCTCCTAACAGCTGGCCCCTGAGATTTTCAAGGGCCAAAATGAAGATACTGGCTGTATAGCACGAGTGTGCCGCTTGGGATGAATGCAATGCATGAATGAATGAATGAATGAATGCATGAATGCATGAAGGCATGAATGAATGAATTTAAAGAGCACACATTGTCTGCAACTCTGCTTTGAATATGAATCTATGAAATGAACCGATAAAGAAAAGTCTTGTTCCTAAATCGGAGGCACAAAAAAGTCAATCTAGCTCTAGATTTTTTTATTTTTAAAAATTTCAGAAGATGCCAGTGTAAATATCTAAGTCTGAGAAAAAAGAAGAAGAAAAAAAAAAAAAGAAAGAAAGAAAGGGGCCGGGGAGATGGCTCAGTGGTATGAATAAGCGCTTCCCTGGCAAGTGCAAGGGTCTGAGTTCAATCCCCGGTTCCGCAAAAAAAATCTAAGTCTAAGAACTGAGTGTATATGTGTCTATGTGTCCAGGGACACGTATGTCCATGTAGGGGAGACTGCAAATTCTGGGGCTTGGGAGACCCCGTAGCTCTGACCTTTCCAAAGTCAGAGAATGTAGCAGCTCCTGCCCCCCAACCCCAGGCTTTCTGTGCAGTGGACCAGGGCTCTGATGTCACCCCAGCAGCCGTTGGTACTGACCAAAATACACATCTTTATTTTTGCAGGTTGGCGAAACCCTGTGTCCTTGGAGAAAGCTGGTTCCCGTTTTCCTGAGGGGGAGCCCAGAGCTTGCAATGCCACGGTTGGTTGGCGCTTCGAGAAGGAAGTGGAGGATAAAGACGGCACCTGGAGTGATAGTAGAAATGCGGAATGGGACTGGGGAAACCCTTGGGGAAGCCAGCTGCAGCAACAGACACCCCAATGCTATTTCCATATTGCTCTATATATACAACAAAAAGAGAAAATATGAATATTACGAATCAGTGCATGCCTTGTCGAGGACGTGGTCCCTTCCCTTTCTGCACCTTGCGATGTGAACTCTGATACTTTGTAATGTCTGGGGCACCTGAAGAGATGCTCGCTGCTGTGTACCTAGGAAATTTGCAAAGACTGGTGGGGTCAGCCTCAGTGTCTACCAATGCCTGGGCACAGATGCTGGTGGAATAAGAGGTAAAATTGCAAAAGGCAAGCGAGAACTTGGGGCCAACTCTCTAGGGGCATCCCGGGGTACCTCCATTTCTTGACATGTCCTAGCCTCTCTCTCTCTGTCTTCATCGAGTCAGATTGCTAGATCCCACGGTCACAATCAGCGAAATGGGATGCCCCCCCATCAATCTGGTGTCTCTGGTGCTTCTCTTTCAATTTTGCTGGTGCTAAGTGTGTTTTTCCTGGCATTGCCATGGTCCTCTGTTGGCAGACCTGGAAGGCCGGGGGGATAAGAGAGATCTCTATTTTGCTGTTTCACTTTTTTTTTTTTAAAAAAGGGATGATTCGCAAAAGTGCCACTTGAGAGTCCCTTCTCTTTCTCTTTGTGGGGGTGAGTGCCCAGAGGTGGTGGGGAGCAAACTGTGGAGTCTGGGGAACAGGAAGAGGGGGCAGCCTGGCAAGGAGGAGAGGATAATAACCTCGTGTGTTCAGGCGCTCTCTCCTCTGCCCCTGCAGAAGCACCCTGAGAGTTCATCCCACAGCCTCCCCTGCTTCCCAGGGGGATTTCAGGGCTTGGGTTTTATGGGTTAAAAAGCTAAGAAGTGGCTATGTTCTGTTTGGACAGTGATTTATAAGCAAGGGACATTGGGGGAAGGACTGGGTCACTTCGATGAAATGTACCAACATCTCACTAACTGTCAGAGGTTTTACCACCTCCCCCATGCACGCCAGAAATATGCTACTATTTTCAGAAGTTTCTAGAAGGGCTAAAAAAAAAAAAAAAAGATGTATGCTGGGCTGAGACTTGGCTGCAAAGACTCTGCAGGGAGCCACGATTATTTTTTGCTTTTGTTTTTTAAAAATTCAAGAAAAACAGGTATTATTTCTCTGTGCAGGCAGAGTAGCCCACGTGGGCACTGCCATTCTCAAGGCTGAGGTGGCAAGGCTTGTGTGAGGGGGGTGGACTCGGAGTCACCTGACAAGGCTGACTTTGCAGGTCACCAGCCAGGGCCTGGGGGTGAAGGGGCCTGCTGGGCTGGGCTGCACACACCCCTTGATTAAGAGGCCAGTGGGGGCGGCAGCAGGTGTTACAGCACAGGACCGAGAGGGGAATGAAAGGTCCCTTGCTGAAAACTACCATGTCCTCCATTGTGTACAACCCATCAGGGTTGCTCTAAGCTGAGAGCTGGATTCTTCTTTCCTTTCCTTTCTTTCTCTTTCATTTCTTTTCTTTTCTTTCTTTTTCTCCCTGTTTGGTACAGGGTCTCACTATGCAGCTTGGACGTGCAGTGATTCTCCTGTTTTCAGCCTTCCCAGGCTGGGATTATAGGCATGCGCCACCATGCCCAGTCTCTTGGCTGGCTCAGTGCTTCCAGGGGGTGGGGCTGGTGCAGCATGTGGTGCTGGGAATTGAACCCCTGACCCTGTGCTTTCCTAAGAAGCGCTTAGTCCACTGAGCTGGCTGACCTATCTCACTGGCTCCCTTCCTTTCCTTTCCTTTCCTTTCCTTTCCTTTCCTTTCCTTTCCTTTCCTTTCCTTTCCTTTCCTTCCTTCTTTCCTTCTCTTTCTTTGTCTCTCCGTGTCTCTGTCTCTGTCTCTGTCTCCTTCTCCCTTTTCTGCTGTTTTGTAATCCATGCCTTATGTTCACTTGAACAGTCCTTTCAAGAGAAAGGCAACCCAGAACTGCTGAAAGGGAGGACCCCCTACCTGATTTGTGCATGCCCAGGCCCCCAGCAAAACAAGAAACAAAGCTGGTTTCTTGGAAAGCATGTTTCCACATCATTGGAGCCTCCTCCCCCAGGGGATGTTTGCCAGGGGCCAGCAAGCAGGCAGGGGAGCCTGCGGAGGGGAGCAGATCCACGAGGGGAGCAGATCCACGAGTCGGGGACTGAGAGATGGCAGACTCCCTGGAGTGGTCTCTGCCTGGATTATTGTCCTTTTCTCCCTAGTGACAGAAGTCCTGCTGATCTGTTGCCTGGGGACAGGGTTCCTCTTACTACAGTTGTGCCCACTTACAGTTCTTTACTTCTTTAAGGCTGTACTTTTAAGACTGAAATGGGGACGTGCTGGCCCCTGGAGACCCGAGGAAAGGGTGAAAGGTCAGAGGATCCCTTTTTTCTCCCCCAGGACCCTGACTTGCCTGCTAACTGATGACGTTTCCCCTGGAGGATCCGAACTCCAGACGCTGGGGTTGGCATTTGGGGCAATTTCGATTTCAATGAAGCCACATTGCTGAGAGAACTGGGTACCCCTGGCCTCCCGAGGGAGCTTTCAGCCGAGTCCCTTGTACATATTCTCACGTGTTCTTAGAAACTGTGTATTATCAAATCCAGGCCTTTTCTTGCATATTATTAATTTGAGTGCACTTCTCAACTGCCCCAATTTTTGACAAGGGGTTGTTTTTAATGCTTGTTTTTATATGAGACTTGACTTCTTGATGGACATTTGTATTAGAAAATTGAAGATATATATATA